CTGGCCTGCCCTGATCGTCCCAATCACCGGCCAGGCCAAGGAACCCCACCCGTGCATGAATTTGTGCACCGGGCCTCTAGTTTGGTTATAAAATCATTAAAGATTTCATACATATATACTCAAATATATATATTTCTACCTCTACTTTGAAGCAAGATTTTTTGAATAATCACTTGATGCCCACTTCTGCCATTTCAACCAAAACTATTTGAGTAAATATTTTTTTTAACCTTCTCTTATGTGCCTTTTAAGTGCTAAAAAGATCTTAATTCATTACCAGAGAAACAAAAAAGAAATTGATTTTCATTAATCAACAAATAGCTAATTGGTTGCATGACATTGAGCATGAAGTTTTAAGTTGTCTTGGAATGTACTTTTCTCTTTCACTATATGAGAAAATTAGATGACATGAGATAACTCCATAAGTTTATTATTCTATTTCTAGCCACCACATAGGCTGCTTAATATTTGACCAATGCAGTTCACAGCTCAAATTTTAAAAAGATTTTAAAGCTATGTTCATCAAAACTATAAAAGTGAGAAGAATACAACTTTGTTCCTGTTACTCATGGCTTTGGAAGACCACTCAGTAACTCAAGCCACAAAACCAAGCCAGGAATGGCCTTCTGCTCTTCCTCCCTATCCAAGTATCAAAGCCCACAAACACTTGCAAAGATTTCCGAGTGATTCAGTGAAGTAGAGGCAGATCCTGGGGAAGAGAGTGTTCTGTCAACACTCTGCTGGGAGGAACAAGCAGTCTGCGATGACTTGCTCTGTGGGTGGCTTCCTCCCACCATGAAATATGTGAAGGGTGCTCACTCCTGCCATTTAGGAGCAAGCTGGATTAAAAGGCAAGGCAGTTGTGCCCAAGTTGGAACCCAAAGTCAGTTCTCTTGGACTTCGAGTTTTCATCTTTTGTGGGTGAAAGTAAGCAAACAATGATTAATTCAAGAAGCATAATATAGCTTCCTAGATACTTGAAATGCCTTCAAGACTGGTAAGGTTGGATCAACTGATTTATTGACTGCTATCCCTGTTTCAATCCCTTTCCAACTTTAAAGTAATTTTTCTTTCTCAATGAATCCCTCTTTTCTCCTCATTTCTACTCGTGTCTTCTCAACATTTGCCTCGCCTCATCCTAGAGGGAGAATGAAAGGATGTTCATATCTATGATCTCCTTTGGCCCCCCATTCCCACATCATTGCAATCCAAGCTCTTCATGCACACCATGTTCCCGATACACAGAACTACTTGTTCTCAAACGCGCCCTCCTCGCTGATCCCATGGGGTACAGATGACCCTAGCAGCACTGCCCTTTTCTTTACTGAATCCCATTTCATTGAGTTCAAAGAGAACTTACTCTATGGAACTTTTCCTCCTTACCCATCTCTACTCCCACCTTAGCCTCTTCTGGCACTCACAGCAACCTGTGTAACCCTTATTGTAGAATTCTTCACAGTCGAGTGGTTTATTTATACTTCTGCCTTTCCCACTCAACTAAAGGAACTCCTTGGGGACCAGGACCGTGCCTTATGCATTTTTGTATCCATGGTACATAGTCTAGGACATGAATAATAATAGGTAATCAGCAACAACTGTTTAATGAATGAATGATTACTTCTGACCCTGGACTCTGTCTTTGCTCTCTGTGGGTGGGAATTGCAACTTACTTATCTTTGTAGTTTCTATCATGTCAGGCACTATACTGTGTACTAGTAGTTGCTCACAAAAGTGCATTAGGTACCTGTGCTCCATAATATCTACTAATTCAACTTAATTTAATAGTTTACTATCTACTGTGTACAAAGCAACTTTGAGGAGCTTACAGTTGGTTATAAGAAATAGTACTTATTAACTATATATGTTGAAGCAGAATATAATATGCATTTTGGGAGAAGTACAAAACAACTGTTCTCAAATATTAAAGGAGGAAAATGTTCATTCAGGGGCATAAAAAAGGCTTCTTGGAAGGGGAAGTATTGGCTCCGGCTCCTGAAGATGAGATAATGGGTAGGCAAACGTTCCAGATAAGGGGATTAAAATGCATGTGAGCAATTATAGCATAAATTTCACCCAAGGGCTATTAAGTAGTGGTTTTGCAACAATTAAACAGATGTTCTTCAGTGTTAGCTTACTGAAATCACAAGTCATCTTAACTGACGGTGTGATGATTAATTTTATGTATCCACTTGACTGGGCTACGGGGTGCCCAGATATCTGGCTATTCATTGTTTCTGGGTGTGTCTCTGATGGTGTTTCCAGAAGAGAGTAGCGTTTGACTCAGTAGCCTGAGTAACACAGATTGCTCACCCTGTGTATGGGCATCATTCAACTTGTCGAGGCCTGAACAGAAGAACAAGGTGAAGGGAAAATTCCCTTTGCTCTGCCTCTCTGAGTGAGTTGGGATGTCAGTCTCTCCATGCTCTGGAACTGGGATTTACACCTGGTTCTTTAAAACTGGTTCTCAAGCTCGGGACTCACACTAGAACTATACCACCAGCTTTCCTGGGTCTCCAGCTTGCAGATGGCAGATCATGAAACTGCTCATGTCTCATAATTGTGTGAACAACTTCCTTATAATAAATCTATAGACAAATAAATAGATAGATATATTTATATCTCTCCCCCTTTCTCTCTGTCTTTCTCCCTCTTTCTATAGATATAGATGATATGGATATAGATTAGAGATAGAGATAGATATAATAGATGGATATGGATATGGATATGGATATGGATATGGATATGGATATGGATATGGATATGGATATGGATATGGATAGATTCTATTTAATTTCTCTGGAGAACCCTGACCAATGCAGATGGTGATTTCTCTTCAAAATACTTTTAGTTGAGCTCTATTACACATCCCTTTCATATACCCTTCCTAATACCTTTAGAAAATGAGTGGTCAGGGTAAGGGGTTGGAGATTGGTTTAAAAAGGTGAAGGGATTAAACAAAGACAGAACAACGCATAGACACAGACAACAGTATGGTAATTACCAGAGGGAAAGGGGTGGAGGGAGATAGAAGAGGGTAAAAGGGAAATATAATGATCAAAGGAGACTTAACTTGGGGTGATGAACACACAATACAGTATGCAGATATTATAGGATTGTACACTTGATACCTATATAATTGTATTATCCTATGTCGCCCCAATAAATTTAATAAATTTTAAAAAATAAACAAATAATGATGGGTCAAGCAATTCACTTTAAGATCTTCAGGTGTGCAAATCTGAAGTTTAAAAATATATTGTCATACAATAAAAAATTACATCGTATTTCAGTCCAATAGCAAAGGATCTTGATGGTTCTGTCCAAGAACACAAAGAAATATATCTGGTAGTGAGGAGAAGAAATCAAGATTTAAGCCAGCTACTATGCCTAAGTCCCCTTTCCAACGGCACTATTTTTTACTCCTCTGACATCAGAGATGTCACCCACCTTAAGAAACATGGAGGGGAAAAGAGTAACTTCGCAGTGGAGAGATTCAGCAGATAACATCTTAACCAAGTGTCCGTATTCACATCTCGGGTGGGACATACGACAGTGTGTTCCTCCTAACATGATGCACTGAGAAGGATGCCTCCTTGTTTCTGAGCCATTCCTACCCCAAAATGCATAAGCTGTATCCAATCATAAAGAATTATCTAATAAGTCCAAATTGAGGGACATTTTACAAGGTGACTAACGTGTTCTGGTTTAAAGATGTCAGTGTCATGAAAGACAAATAGACTCTTTAAAATATTTTCTTTTGTACTCTGCGGTAAAATTACAAATATTGTAAGGGAAAAAATGCTCATTTTCTCTGTATCATTTGTCTTCTTCCTAAAACATTCATGAACGTGCCTGATTTACCTTGGAAGTATACAGAGATCACCTGTGACTGTGCAGAGTCCCACCACGCCTGGACCATGCTCTCAGAAGGTGAGCAGTGCTTTCCAGTGTTTGGGACACTCCGAGCACCTCTGCACCCAGCTCCCCTTGGGCGCCCTCTAGAGTCCTGGAGGAGCCTGATCTGGGAAGTGACCAGTCCTGGGTTCTTTCAGCCTGGCCCTAAGGTGCAGCCTCCAGAGACAAGGAGGTCAGTATCTCTCAGCACGCAGGACATCCACATGGGGACATTGCTAAAGAAGCTCTGAGCAAGGCTCTTCAGGCAGCAGTCAGGCATCTTAACTGTCAACCAGGCATGAATCCTACATAAAATCCTGATCATAATCAATTTCAATATCTAGTTGGGAAACTAAGAAGAAGCCTCATGTTAACATTATGAGGCAAGTACCATTGAACTCTGAACTCGCTTATGATCTTAAGGTTTTAGCCCCGGTATTAAATCACTTCCTAATATGGTATAATAAGACAATGATAATTAGGTGATTTTTCAATAGAAAATTAGAGTGCTTTTATAGTGATAAAAGTGGATGTTCATTTATTTTCTTAAAACACACATATTTATACCAAAAACATTGCTGTTCTTCTAAAATTCAAATGTAACTGGTGTGTCTTATTTATCTGGTAAGCCTATTCCTGAATCCTTTTTTTCTACTCTTTCAAAAGGACTTGTCACTTCAATAGCAGGTTCCACCTGTACCAAAAAATCCCACATGGCCCCAGCACCTCAAGCTCAGTTTTTATATTCAGTGAATTCACTGATTGGTTAATAACCAAAGAGTTTAACTCTTTCACTCCATCTTAACGATTAGATTTCCACAATTGAATTTCCCTCAGATTTTAAGGGGAAAAGTTACCGGTGAACAGGACACAAACGTCCCAAACTACAAAGAATAGTTATGAAAAGAAAAATACAATTTCTGCACCTCACCTCAGAAACCTGCTTGCAGTAGTTACAATGAAGGGGAAATACTCTGCTAACAGTTGTGAGCCTAGACCTTCCCATTCCCTGTGTTTCAGATCTTCCCGTGTTAATGGCAGTCACCCAGGGAGCCATGGGGTGCAGAAACCATCCAGGCCAGAATCCACGCCAATTAGATGCTTACCTTCTTGCTAATGGTCTTTCTTCCCGGGAATCACCCGGTCACACAGCAGCAGGTAAAATGCTTTCAGAACATGTCAGAGCTGCCCTTTCATTCCAACCAAGAGAAAATGAGAACAGAGAACTCCTATCCCCTCCCCCACAGGCTGGGAAACAAACAAACACGTTATGAGAGTTACCAAAGTAGAACAAAAGTGTCTCCGCAGAGCAGTGGCCCTTGCAGCTTGTTCTCAAAGGTCTCTGGAGAGAAGTTGGATACCTTCCTGCTTCCTTGAGCATCACAGCTGGGAACACTAAAAAGTCCTTGTGACCACAGCACTGTGGCCCAGGTTTCCATCTGCTCTTATTTAAATGTTAGTCATGGAAAGCCAGGACAGTCTGCTCGCCAAAGTCCATGGTCAAGTGGAGGATAGAGACATTTAGTGATTCTCTCTACCCAGCCCTCTGAAGAAAGGAAGCCGTGAGAAAGTAGTTAGAAGTGGTTGGAGTTATGAGGAACTGGACTCAGGGGAAGTGTGTGGGGGGAAAGAGTACAAGAGTTCCAGCTGCGTTTTTATTTCTGTGAACCCTTCTGCTTTTTCTTCAATGCCCTTTGACCTGTTGGCAGTGGCATCAGCCCTGAATGCAGGGCTGAAAACTCCTTTGCTGAGGAAGTCCAGTGAACGTGTCTTCATTTGGTTACCATGGTGATGGTACTGTGTGTCACCAGCCCCGATGATTTGCATTGCAAACCATCACTGGAAATGGGGACAGCAGAACTTGATATTCTGGATGGAGAGACTCAATTCACAGGAAAGTTCAGAGGGAACAAAACATAAATATATATGCATACTCCCGAACACATAAGGAAGGGGCCAACAGTAAGGGCTAACCGTCAGTCCCATCCTCCCTGAAATTTCAGTATCTATAAAGTATTTATTTGGAAGATTCAGACAGTTTCACTTTAGACAGGCAAGTAAGCACATTATCAACCTAATTTTTTAAAAAAATTTTTTTTATTGATTTCAGAGAGGAAGGGAGAGGGGGAGAGAGATAGAAACATCAATGATGAGAGAGAATCATCAGTTGGCTGCCTCCTGCATGCCCCCTACTGGGTATCGAGCCCGCAACCCGGGCATGTGCCCTTGACTGGAATTGAACCTGGGACCCTGCAGTCCACAGGCTGACTCTCTATCCACTGAGCCAAACCAGCTAGGGCTATCAACCTTATTTGTTAAAAATTAAACTTCACAGGCATATTCAGCATGTATCTTTGTAAAGGGTATCATACTAAACCACTACCTGATAATTATTATATTCCTGAGTCATGTATGACAGCAATACCCTTCATTTGGATAAACTGCATTATTAGAATTTGAAATGATGGAAAATACCATATGCATTTCAGATTATATCTAACTTCAAACACACAGGAACCCCCATATTTAAAGAGGAAGTACTGAGGTTGTCTTCAAGGGAAATGAGGGGGAAGGGCCTTACCAAGTCTCCCCTCTCTCCCTCCGACAGCTGGTGAGGTTCCTCTGTGGAGCTCCTAGTGTCACCGAGCAGGACTGGAACAGCCCTCCACACTGGCCCTCACCCTATCCTGAGAGAGTCCCTGTCTTTTAGGATTTCTCCCACCTCCACCACCAGTATCTGAGACCTTTACTCTCAGGAGCCAATCTAGGAATTCTGCGCTTAACAGTGGTGACAAAAATCAGATGATGATAGCCATCATTTATTATTGACTTGTGCCAAACCCCTCAAGTCAACATTTTCTTACTTGATTCTTCCAAGTAGGAATTATTTTTATTCCCATTTTATAGATGATGAAACTGAGGTTCACAGATATTTTAAAAAGTCACACAAGTCATAATGAAGAGAGCCAGGACTCAGGCAAAACTAGGTCTATCTCACTCCCAAATCCATACTCCTAACAATAATATTTATTCTCAGAGTTCAAAAAAGAGTATACCAACAGCTCCTACACACTTCCCAAAGGGTTCACTCAGGGAGGGAGAGCATGTTTTTCAGAAATGTCAGAATCTTTCTCAGTTTTTTAATGATTCTGAATAGAAGTAGATTTAGCCTAGTTGGTCTGGTTCCACCAAGTTAAGTCAGAAAATTGGTTCTTGTTTGAGAGAGTTTCTAAATCCAAGAACCATGGCTAGGAGACAAGAGCTAAAGGTAGGCTTTCTTTCCTTCCTATCCAAAGATAATCAAGCTCAGTATTTTTTGAACATTCCCAATGAGCCAGAAGCTGACTGGAAAATACCAACTCCATGTACAGTACAATGAAATGATGATTGTGGCTGATTGGTAGGCTAGTAAGCTACCAAAATAGATGGGAGGCAATTCTTTCCTAAGTACTTGTTAGTAGACAGGAGGATGCCAAGTGCGTATCATGAGATTGGCTCTATGTTCCACCTCATGGATGTTAAGATGGTGTTTCATTTTAGGAAAACATTTAACAATGTTTATTATATTTTACCCCTTAGAGTTAAATTTAAAACATCATGCATGCTCAACACATATTCAATATTCACTCATCATGATAAATCTTGCTCAGTCAATTCAATCATTTTTACGATAAAGATCCAAATCAAATTCTACCTTCACTATGAAGGGACCTTCCCCAATTTTACTCTTATTTTGCTTATGCTTGTTCCACAGCACTTACCACATTGTGCCTGCTATTTGATCATTGATCTTCCATGGGAACTCATTTTGACTCCAAGGAGACTTTTGGCAATGTTTGGAGACATTTTGGTTGTCATAGGAAGGTAGAGAATACAGTAAACACACTGTAATACAAACAGCAATCACCCAACCCTATAAACACACAAGGTTTCAATCCCAAATGTCAAGAGTGTTGAGACTGAAAAACCAGGTTGCTCAATAAATTGCTTGGGACTTGGAGCCACAAGTGCTTAGTTTCAGCTCTGGCAAGTCACAGCTCCCGAGACTCACGAGTCTCACCAGCAAAATGCAAATACTTATTTTATGGATGTTCCCTCCGAGAATTATGGTAGGGATCACTGCATGAGAAACGCTTGTCCACTTGGTGCAATCATTGTTAGGTGTACAGTGAGTGTATGAGTGATGATGACAATGATCATTGTGCAGGCAGTCTGAATATATAGGTCTAGCAGTGGTTCTCAACCTTCCTAATGCCGCGACCTTTTAAAACAGTTCCTCATGTTGTGGTGACCCCCAACCATAAAATTATTTTTGTTGCTACTTCACAACTGTAATTTTGCTACTGTTATAAATCGTAATGTAAATATCTGATATGCAGCATGTATTTTCAGGGGTCACGACCCACAGGTTGAGAACCACTGGCTAGAGCTCACTTGAGGACATCGAGGCTGGATTTTAAATCTGAACTCAAATATACTCACTTAAATTTCATCTCAATAAGTATTTATTGAGCAGCATCTCTAGGTTTGCATTCTTCTAGGTACTATAGTAGATATAAGAATAAGATATTCTCCCTGAATTAAGGAGTTCATTTTTTTGGATAGAGATGGAGTCATACACAAAAAGTTATAACACTGTGTAAAATAACCGAAGATAATAAAGACTAGGTGAAGAAAGTTTTTTAGAAACAGAGCAATTCAAGATATATTTTACGTTTATGGGCCGTATTATACTGGCAATAACAACAACAAAACACACCCTTTTTTTTACCACCTCGCTTTACTGATCCCCCTGGGGGAAAATGCACAGTCTTATGACTTAGATTACCCACTTGACAGAATAGATTAAAGTGGATAAGAAAACTAAAGTTGCTCTTTAACAGTGAACATGTTAAATCTGACCACGTAGAACAGTAATGAAATGGAGGTAGCTCTCCAATCTTGAGTCCTGAAATGGGTTAAAAAGCTATGACTCCGAACAGCCACTCATGCTGTGAATCCCTCATTGCCGCACTGAGGTATATCATGTTTCCAGAATGCAAATGAACGGTATTTGGGGGAAGTTTTCCAGGCCACTCGGGTAGCTGAACTGTATTCCCATTTACTCTGTTCTCAGGAAATAAATGTCTGATAAACTGAACTGAAGTGTGATATAAAAAGTAGGCTTTAATTAAACTGAGGCCCTTACAAAATTAGTGATTCTGCCATCTCTCTGTTTTTTTAAAAATCTTTTTTGTTGAAAGTATTACATATGTCTCCCTTTTCCCCCTATCAACCCTCTCTAGCCCACCCCTGCCCCCTGTCCCAGGCCCTTACTACCCCACTGTTTGCATCCACAGGTTATGCATATATGCATATGAGGTCTATGGTTGATTATCTCCCATTCACCCACCCTGCCCCACCTTCCCTCCCAGATTCCACACTCTGTCCCATGCTTCCATGTCTCTGGATTCACTCTGTTCATCAGTTTATTTTGTTAATTAGATTCTACATATGAGTGAGATCATGTGATCCTTGTCTTTCTCTGACTGACTTATTTCACTTAGCATGATACTCTCCAGGTCCCTCCATGCTGTCTCAAAGGGTAAGATTCTTCCGCCTCTTAATCAGCAATGTTCTCTGGCTATTCCTTTCCTAACCCCAACTGACACTGATTGCTTGAAACATCAAGTTCATGTAGAAGAGCCCATTACAGTATGCTTTTTCCTATTGGGCTGCAACAAATTACCACAAACTGAGTAGCTAAGACAACACAAATTTATTATATTATTGTTTTGGAGGATAGAAGTCCAAAATGGGCCTCACTGAGCTCAAGGTGCCAGCAAGGCTGTGTTTCTTTGTGGGGCTCTCGGGGAGAATTCATTGCCTGGCCTTTTCCAGCTTCCAGAAGCTGCTCACGTCCCTTGGCTCACGGCCCCTTCCTCCATATTTAAAACCAGCATTGTAGCAGCTTCAAATCTCTCTCTGATTCTGATCCTCCACTTCCATCATCACATCCACTCTCAGACTCAGAATCTTGGACCTCTTTCTAATCAGGACCCTGGAATCCAGGTAATCTCTCTTTCTCAAGATCCTTAACTTAATGTCATCTACAAAGTTCCTTTTGATATATAAGGTAACATATCAAA